AACAATTGCTGTGGTGCTGCAAGATTCATAGTTTCGGGACTTGTTCGTAAATGCATAACTTCAAACGTTCGGTAAGGGATCACTCATAACCCGGGGATTGCCTGTAGAAATGACTTGTGAAATTAATAGTGAAGATATTGCAGAAATTACAGAACATTCTCTGTTGTTCATCTTAGCAATCTATATTGTACATTTCAGATAGATTTAATATGTTCAATGTATAACTGATGTATTAATAATAATAATTTAATAATAAAATAATAAAAATAGATAACATATTCTCTATATATAGATAATATATGTTCAAAATCTAAAATCTTTCTTTATGAATTTTTGTTATCTATATCCCTTTCAGTTCTATATTTAACCATCTGGACTTCTAATTGCTATTTCTGATTAATTTTATTGCCTATCTTGCAGTGAGACATCACTATAAAAACAAACATAAGCAAACGTTTCACCACAGCGAGTCATTCAAGCAATTACAAGCATTATTTTAGTTTAAAATGCTCCCTAAATTAATTTTATGTTTCCATTTCATAGACAGTCAGTGGCAGTATTCAACATTTTATTTGCCATAACTTTTATTGGAAGACAAACTCTGTCAAACCTGGTCCTTATACCATCCCGGACAAATGGTTGTCCAGTCTATTTTTAAAAACCTCCAGCAGTGCAGCACTTACACCTCTGGGAGACAAAGCTATTCCACTGATTAACTGTTCACACTTTCAGGAAATTTCTCCTTAGTTCCAGCTTGGATCTTCCTTTGATGAGATTCCATCTCTTTTTTTTCTGCTTCTATGTGCAGAAAAAAACTTATTGGAAAATAAGTTGAATTCCTCTCCTTGCGACAGCCCGTCAAATACTGGAAGACAGCTATCATGTTATCCCTAATTCTTCTATTTAATACACTAGACTTACCTATTCCCTTAACCATTCATTGTACAATTTAGCTTCCAGACTCCTTTCTCTGAACTCTTTGTTTACAGATAATCAGCAAATTACCACTGAGAATTTTTTTGAAGAGGTTAAATAATAATTTTAATAATTCAGCAAAGGTTTATAAGATTGGCTTGTTTGACAAGGGTTATAAGAAGTAAATAGTTACATCTGGTTGCCATTACTGGACTCTTACCGACAAAGATTGATTGATGTAGCATTTGTCTTTGTTTTCCTTATGTAAGAGATGACAAGAGAGATTGCTTTATTTAGGTAATAAGCTACTGAAATAGTTTTTATTTGCTGGATGAAGGAGGAAGTTATGTCTTTTCTCTCTCTCTCTCTCTCTTTTTTTACACCCCTCCTGCTTTTATGTTTCTGTTTATATTTTTTGTAGTTTGTATTGACTTTTATTATTTGTTTATAATTTTTAATTATTTGAAAAAAGTAACCTCCCTCTCTCTCATATAAATACATACATACACATGTACTACCAACAGAAGCAACAAATATGCTTAAACACATATATGCATACAGAGGAAACACCTCCTAGGCTGACAGTGCACATGCATACACAACAGATGCTTTCTATGGCCATAATTGGTAAAAGGCTTAGAAAGAATTCCAGAAGCCAGGCTCTGCAGATCTTTCACAACTCGATATTGTTTCCAACTCAACAGAATATTAAAAAGAAACAGTGCAAGGGGCTCAGGACCCAACTGTCAGCAGGATTTATTTATTTATTTGATTTATTTGAGGTTGAAACATTCTGACTATATGAATGAGCATTTCTGAGATCAGGATGTATACATGTCTCTGCATGTATACATCCCCATGTAGAAGTGTGTCACATCCATACATCTGCTGAGATAAAAAAAATATATATTCAGGAATACCTGTAGTTACAGTTTGAATTGCCAGTCCTAGCTGATGCAGTATGGCAAGTGGGCTATGTGCAAGGCTATGTTTGACTATAGTTCATAGGCAATCTGCTTAAATGTGGCAGATTTTCAAGAGGGAAATACCTTGTGGGGGACATTGCTTTTCCTTGATAAAACATGAAAACAGAGCTAATTGGTCTCAGCTGGCCAATCAATCTTGCTAACTGTGGCTACCGTGCCATTAATAAATGAGTGAAATCAAATGGCAAGCTATTCATCTTATTGAAATGGAACATTGTCATGTTTTGTGACAAAGTTCTGAAGAGGAAATTTGCTTGAAAATTCCAACTATGCAAAGTGCCCCTTTGGAAATGGATACAGCCTTAGCATTTTTTTAAAAAACAACCACCCATTTTTGGACCCTGATATGGGAAGGGTAAGTTGTTTTATTTATTTATTTATTTTATTTTATTAACATTTATATCCCACCCTTCTCCCGAAGGACTCGGGGTGGCTCACAAGTATAAAATGACAATAAAAACAATATCACTAAATAGCATTAAAAATCCAATTTAAAATCCCACAGTTAACTAAAAAACCCAACCAGATCAGGTGATTTGAGTAAAAATCCAGGTCTTAAGATCTTTGCGGAAGGAACGGAGATCAGGGGCTGTCTGGAGCTCGGTGGGTAATTCATTCCAGAGGGTCGGCGCAGCCACCGAGAACGCCCTCAATCTGGGGGCCACCAGCCAACATTGTCTGGCCGATGGCACCTGGAGGAGGGCAGCCCTATGTGATCGCACTGGGCGGTGGGAGGCCGGTAGGAGGTGGTCCCGCAAGTACCCCGGGGCCGTGCCATGTAGGGCTTTATAGGCGAGAGCCAGCACCTTGAAGCGGATCCGAAAGGCCACCAGCAGCCAGTGCAGCTCGCACAGGAGAGGTGTTACATGGGAGTAACGAGAAGCTCCCGTAACAACCCGCATGACTGCATTCTGTACCAGCTGGAGCCTCCAAATGCACCCCAAGGGGAGCCCCATGTAGAGGGCATTACAGTTTTACAATAAAGTACAGGAGGTGTGCATTAAAAAGGAGTGTCTATAAACAGGTAGTTGTCTAAATATGGGCAAAGTGACAGGTCCATTTAGTCCTAGGCACTAGGAACCAGGAAACATTGCAGAGGAGGACAAGGATAGGAGCCCTTATTCATGGTACATACTGTAGACTCACAAGCTTCTAATTGCAAAACAGGATCAGATTATGCCTGAACACACTGTACCTATGAGGGTGGGATTCAGATATGTTTTTCTAATTCCACTAATGTTCAGAAACATTATTGAAGCAATAAGCTTTTAAAAAGTAAATATTCTGAAATAGAAGACAATGTCTCTCAAAAAAAGATTAGGCTGAAATTACAATATCTGCCTCTATTACTATATTCTCAACAGATTTTTTAAAAAAATAATATTTTAGGGGGAAAACCATGTTCTTTCTTTTAGACAAATGCATTCAGTTAAATAAAATTAATTAAACAAAATTCCATCTCATATCACCTCTTGGAATATTTCATCAAAAGCATGAATAAACAAAACAATCTTAAATTCTTTGTCTTGTATTCCAGGTAAAAGAACACAACTTGCTTACCTAACTACTTATTAATAACAACATATGAGATTAATACTATTATTATTCATTAATTTACAGTCGGAGATCAAACCAATACATTTGATGAAAATTAAGAAGCCTTCCTTCTGATCATAGGAAAAGTGTATAAGGGATCAATCTACTTAAAAAAATGAATCATGTTTTTAGGAGCCAGTCATATAAATTATTGCAGGCGCAAATAAAGAAGGATAGATCACTACAATTATGTACAATTATACAAATAGAATCACTACAATTATGCACGTAAGGGGTGTGCATAAGCGCACCAATGTGCCTACCGTCCCTGTCCTAATGTCCCTTTTTATTTATATCCATTTCATGTATTCATAATCTTGTTTATACTTTTATCTGTAATCTTATATATGCTTGACAAAAATAAATAAATAAAAATAAAAATAAATTATTCTCAGCTTCACAATCTAGGGCTGTAAACCATCATTATAAGTCAACCTAAAGTTTCATATCTGCCCAACTGAATGAGTGCCATTATTTACATACTGGTAGTCCAAGCAAGAACAACAATACATTGAAAATTATGGTATTTTTAAATATATTACTAAACTGAAACACAAGATGTAAAAGGACATGAGATACTGTACTTACAAAAGGCTCTATTTCTCAAATATATCATGGTAGTAAAAGCAATTTACAGTAGAGAAAATCAGGAGGAATTAAGATAACCTATACCACAGGTGTCAAACTCGTGGGCGGCAGGCCAAATGCGTCATAAACTAGTCACACCCACCTCCAGTTTAGCGAAGTGGGAAAAAGTCGCAATACATCACGTGATGACAACGTGACACTGCAAATTTGACACCCCTGCCCTACACAGTATTGTTCTGCATAGAATATTGAGTTCATTAAATGGGCAGTAATCTTTCATGACAACCCTTTGCAAAGTAATGGTTTTTATAAAGCAATATGATACAATACATTGTTTTTTTCCTTGTGCTGATGGGTGATGCATAGCAACCTACACTCTTGAGTTCTAATTCCTTTTGCAATCAAGTAGTTCTGACTTCTCTCAAACTGATCTGTGCTTATTATGTGATGGGGGAATCAAGGCAGGACAGGGTATCGGATAAAGAATCTGAACTCTCATCCATTTTTGCTCTGTTCTGCATTTACTTAAGAACCCAGCAATTATTTCTTAAGGTGACCTAAATGTGCTTGTTTCATTTAAGGATAGAGTAGCTGCATTCAATTATTACTTTTTGTGCCTTTCAGTCAGGTTTCGACTCCTGGTAACTGCCTGGACTGGTACCTACAATTTTCTTGGTAAGTAAGGTTTTTCAGAAGTGATTTGCCACTGCTTAAGAATGACTGGCCTAAAATCAGCCAGCTGAATTTATGCCTAAGGCAGGACTAGAAGTCTGGTTTCTAACCGAATGCCTTAACTATTACACTAAAGCAGTTCTCTAAATTATTGTTTATTTTGTCTAAAAACACCACCATTTTCTCCCCGTTTAAATTTACACATGTAAAAAAAAAACAACCAGATTATAAACAATCACGTACCTGTTCAGGTCCCAGACTTTGCTTGTTTCATCCATAGAGGCAGATGCAACAAAATCACCACATGAATGCCAAGAACAATCCAACACTGCATAGCTATGACCTTCGAGTTTCAGAATGCACCCACCCTTCGTGAAGTCCCATACACGAACTGTTTTGTCTCCACTTGAAGTAACAAGTTTGGATCCACTGTCATTGAAAAACATAAATCTGATTTAGAACTTGAGGAAAGTTCTTACACAGCTGTTCAATTAAATTTCCCAAGTCAATATGATGAAAATCTCCATTTTTCATACTACTAGTATTATTATTACTGTTTATATATTATTTTCAAATGCTCAAAGAAATGTAATACTTTATATTTCTACTTTATAGGAATATACTGTTGATTGGAAGCTGTGGGAAAGGTTGCCTAATCGTGTTTAAGTACTACATTAAAGACAAAGCAGAGTAAGGTGCAAACCAAACAGGATGGAAGAGGAATTCAGTTTACTGATCCCAGTAATAAACAGAGGACTGGTTCCATTTTTTTAAAGATAGGCTTTCAAGAGGAAACTATTTTTTCTACTTAAAATGTGTAATAGTTTAAACCAAGCACACACACACACACAACTTTTAATGTTTAAAATTATTTCCATTACAGTATTAAATTCTTTTTTTATTAAATAATTTTTATTAAACAGTTTGTCTTTAAAAACAACACAAAAGACAATCACACACATATATAAACAAAACATGTCAAAACATAACGTATTGAACATTACATAACATTAATGGTAATTTCACAGCATTTCGTATCAATTTATGTACTTTGCTCTTGTAGTTCTCTATTCTATCATTTCTATTTACTATTCAATAGTAAAATAATCACATTACTCCAACACACACACACACACACACACACATATATATATATACACATTATAATATTTATTTGTTCTTATCTATACATTTATGTTCGTTTATATTTACCACTTTTTATTTAATGTTGTTCAGTTACTTTAATTTAAGTTTCATCAATATTAAGTTAAACATTTCTTGTTCTGATTTCTATTTTCAAGCCAACTGTACATTTTATTCCATATTTCATAATAGTCCGAATCCTCTCTCTCTTTCAACTCCATAGTCATTTTATCCATCTCTGTGCATTCTAGAATTTTCCTAATTACAGTTTCGTCTGAGGGTATATTTTTTTGTTTCCAATTTTTTGCAAATGTGATTCTTGCTGCGGTAAGTATGTGCAATATAATGCATTGAAGGTTTTTATTCATTTTCAGGTCCAGTATTCCTAATAAAAACAATCCAGGTTTCAAATCTATTTTTTGCTTTGTAATTTCTTCCAACCATTTTTGACACCAATACTTCCTTGTGATGGGGCACATCCACCACATATGATAGAATGTTCCGGATTTATAGTTACATCTCCAACAATTAGGTGATAAATTGGGATACATCTTGGCCAATCTCGCTGGTGGCAAATGCCACCTATAAAACATTTTATAGAGGTTTTCTTTGTAGGTAACTGCTGTTGTGAGTTTGTAGTTCCTTTCCCATAGTTTGTCCCACTGTTCTAATTCTATGTTGTGGCCGAAATTCCTTCCCCAACTAATCATCGTTTCTTTTACAACTTCCTCCTCCATTTTATGTCTTAGTAGAAATTTATATAATTTTGTAATAATTTTTCCTTCTGTTCCCAATTTTATCCAACTCCAATTGTTTTTCATATATGCCGAATTGTTCTTAATCTTTTTTTAGTCTTGTTTTGATTTGTAGGTAGGGCCACCATTCTATATTTATTCCTTGTGTTTTCAATGTTTGCACTGATTTTAATTCTCCTTTCTCGTCTAAAATTTCTGAGTACCTTACATTTTACTGTATTTGGGTGTGTCATTGCCTCCATTGTCGATAACCAATTTGAGATTTTCATATAGTGGTGTTTTTTAATCTTTACCCAGACATTGTGTAGAGAATTCCTTATTATATGCCTCTGAAAATATGAATGTGTTTTATTTTTACCTTCCCATAGAAACCTGTGCCAACCTAGTTGGAGATCGTGCCCTTCTAATGCTAATATTTTTTTGTTTTTAAGTTGAGTCCAATCTCTTAATCATGTCAGCACTGCTGCCTGGTAGTAGAGCTCCCAGTCTGGAAGACCGAAACCCCCATGGTTCCTACTATCTTGTAACAGCTTAAATTTAATGCAAGGTTTTTTACCTGCTGAAGAAAAATGCTTTTAAAAGCCTCTGATGATCCCAGCTGAGTTGCCTGATCGGCAGAGGCTTTTAAAAGCATTTTTTTACAACCTCTTCAGCCGAAGAGGTTGTAGAAAAAATGGTTTTAAAAGTTTTTTTTTAAAAAGTTGGCCACGCCCACCCAGTCACATTCCCCCACCACCAAGCCACACCCACAGAACCGGTAGTAACAAATTTTACATTTCACCACTAATGTATTTGTCAAGAGTATTGTCAGGATTGCTTGACTATAAGATTAGTTACAAACTGCAAACATTCAAACAGGCCAATCTCCGTCTTGCAATTAACTACAAGCCTCCCCCGCCCTAGTTAATTGCTCACTGACTCACTATATAAGTAGGAGCTTGTTGCCTGCCAAAACGATTCAGCAAGGCAAGCCAAGCCAAGCCAGCCGAGAGCCAAGAAGCCCAAAGAAGCCTGGACTCAGAGAGCTGAGTAAAGAGACAGAGCTGGAACAAAGTCACTGCCTGATGCATGAGCTAGAGCTGAAGCTCAGAGCCAGAGAGCCAGAGAGAAAGGAGAAGAGAGCTTGCCTTTGCTGAGCTGAGCATGCAAGCCAACATATGCCTGCAAGCTAGCATCTGCTGTTGTCTCTGAGCTGTAGTTGCTGCTGCTGCTGCTGAAGCCATGACCAAGAGGAAGAGCTGGAGAATTTCCCTGCTAGAAGTTTCCTGCCAGAAGCTTCAAACCACGATGCTGATTGGATCAACTCTACAGGTGATTTGATTCACAGAAGCTCTCTACAGGACATTTTCACTCATCACTGCTGAGAAGCCTACGCTGCGGGTTCACACTGCCTCGATGATATACCGATCCTGAAACTACTTAGTGTTGTATTAGCTTTTGCCTTTGCCTTTGGAAAGGGTTAAGAGGACTGGTTTCAGTATTGCAGGAGAGGAACTTGGAGAGACGGCTAATGAAGATAAGTGTTAGCTATTGATGTGTTTTAAAGACATTTGTCCTTTTTTTTAATGTTTCTAGTAAAGTATATTTTTACAAGACTCCTCTGTCAGTTTCATTTCAGCTCCAGTGCATTCGTTGGGACAAACCTCAACCTCCCGTAACAGTATTACTATTGTTACATAAGATAATTCATATAGGAGTTTAATAGAAGTCTGATTAAAAAAGATGTTTAATCAAATGAGCCTTGATAGTACAGTGGTCTACGCACCCTGTTATTAACACAGCTGCCTGCAATTTACTGCTGGTTCGAATCTCTCCAAGGCTCAAGGTTGACTCAGCCTTCCATCCTTTCTAAGGTAGGTGAAATGAGGACCCAGTTTGTGGGGGCAATAAGCTGACTTTGTACAAATATACAAAAGTATGAAGGCTATTGCTTAACGCATTGTAAGCCGCCCTGAGTCTCCGGAGAAGGGCGGCATATAAATCAAATAAAAAAAAAAAAGTCTGATTAAAAAGGAATGCATTTATTCTCAAAATTTATATTCCACCTGATTCCAGGTAGTTTACAATATAGATAAAATGCCAATAAAAATAATAAATAAATAAATACATAAAAATAATAAAATCCGACTTCCGGTTGGTGAGCTGCAGCGACATGGTGCTGAGTGAGTGATCGCTACTCCTCAACACCGCCTGTCACCACGTTTTGGGGATCCCTTCGGGGGGGCGGGACCTGGAGAGCCCCGCGGACAATAGAGAGAGTCGGGTGAGCGAGAAAGTGAAGCGCAAGCACTTCTCGCAAAAACCGGGCAGCTCTGTCAAACCAGCGTGAGTGAGTCAGCCTCTCAATGGCTGACTTGAAGCTGTGGTAGCTGACAACTAGAAGGAAGCAAGGAAGATCGGAGGTTGCAGTGGCGTGATCGAAACTTACTTTCCCTGCCTATGTGGATTTGAACATCAAAAAGGGGTCGGCGTAGACGAGCGCGAGGGGCTCAGAGTGGAAACGAGCGGCGCCGGAGATCAGAGAGCAGTTTGCCAAGGCACAGAGCCCGTCTAGCCGGCGGAGAAAAGGAAAGACTGAGGATGCTGAAACTGCCTGCGTAAAAAGAGGTTTGGTGGACACAGAGAGCAAGGAACACATAAGAACCCAGAAAAATTTTGTTCCTCATTTGCTGGCCATAGCAGGAAGGTGAATTAAGCTGAAGATCGGACCTTACTTGCCTGTAACAGAGAACAGGAAGTGCAGCCATTAAAGAAACCTGACAGAGCAAAAACTGAAAAGGACAGGCATAGAGACAATCTAGCTGCGAGATTTATCATAGAGCTTCGGCTGTGGCTAAGGAAGGATTGGAGGAGATTGATGACTGAGTGAAAAAAAAAATCAAAATCAAAAAACTTTATCTTTGTGGAAAATACCATTTGTCCCTTATTGCAACTTGATAGCTTTCCTTTTTATTCTTTTTTACTTTTGATAATGCTGTCCTTAACTTCCTGACCTTCTGCATAGTAATAGTGTTATTAATAAGAACTGTTAGTTTTTAGGTTATTTAAGTCCTGACTTTCCTTGCTTACAAGATATACTCTTATATCTTAGGGCCGGGGTACTTACGGGACCGCCTTCTGCCACCAATTGCCTCCCACCGGCCAGTTCGCTCCCACAGAGAGGGCCTCCTCAGGGTGCCGTCGGCTAGACAATGCCGGCTGGCGACCCCCAGGAGGAGAGCCTTCTCTGTGGTGGCACCTACCCTTTGGAACAATCTACCCCCAGAGATACGAGTGATCTCCGACCTCCGGACCTTTTGTCGGGCCCTAAAAACTCATCTCTTTCAGTTAGCCGGTCTCTCTTGATTTTATGATTTTATGGTTGGTTTTAAATTTTGATATGGATTTTAAATTGATAAATTTTAAACTATGGGCCAAATTTAATTATTTTAAATCTATTTTTAATCGTATTTATGTATAAATGTTTTTATTTTGGCTGTTCACCGCCCTGAGTCCGAAAGGAGAAGGGCGGTATAGAAATTCGAATAATAA